GAGGGAGGGAGGAAGAAAGAAAGAAAGAGGGAGCCTGAGAGCAATCGTCTCCAACCTAACAGCGATGGCCTCCAACCTAGAAGCAATCGCCTCCGACCTAACAGCAATGGCCTGTAACCTAATAGAGAGAGAGAGAGAGAAAACGAGGAACCAAGACAGGTTGGAGTTGGCTTCTTTTTTGAAGGATCCTGTGCAGTTGTCATTCAATGTGGTTCTTTCTTTTCTTGTGGATCTATCTTCAATAGAGCAGTTACTATGGAAGGGTTTGCAAAGATGATGGCGAAAATGCGTCATAGCCCCCTCTGTTGATGGTCAATGCGGTTTATGGAAGCAGGACTGGTGGAGTGGTTCAGTGAATTTCTTCAATGGTTGCAGACCAGCAAGCACGGTCGTGAAGAGGATCGCACAAAGAATAATCATGCAACCCAATACGATGCGCAGCTGATCTCTTACGCCTTGTTTGTGGAAAAGCCGGAGATCGCTCGGGACGTGGCCGAGAAGGTGGGGAAGCGTCGCATCAATACGCAGATCCAAACGGATGGAAGTCAACCTGAAGAGATCAGTCGAGCGAACGGATGGGATTATTCCTGTGAAAACCTCCGAAACTTCACCCGTTTGGCCACTCTAGCACGACATGTGGGTGTGGACCTTTGGACGTATCAGTCGAAGGACGGACGGAGCATTAGGAAAGCTATTGAATATTTGTTGCCCTTTGTAGCCGGAGAAGCTTGGCCTCACAAACAGCATTCGGAATTGAAGACTTGGAGACTCAAGGCAGCACTTCTGGCAGCGCCGCTTGAGTTGGGTTGCGGCCCCATGGCTTTCAAGATGCTGCAGAAGAACAATGTCGAACGGCTTCTCCACATGCCGCCGAAGGCAACCCGAAAGGAGCCAGAGCCAGTGGAACATGTCGAGCGCATTGTCGAACCATCAGCAGAGGCGGGTCCAGCTGAGGCTGGCCATTTGCCAGCAGACAAGGCAAAGGCAGACAAGGCATCCGAGAAGCCAGAAGACAAGGAAGGATCAGCTGACAAGCTGAAGGATCAGCTAGCAGATGAGCCAGTGACTAAGGATGGCGAGCACAAGCCGGGCTGAGAAGCCGATGATTGTGAGTGTTTGTTTGCTGACGATGCGTGGAGGAGAACACGGTCAGGAAGAGTTGAGGGAGAAGAGTTGCCTGGTCCACTCGCGGAGAGGAACATCCCATTGACATCAAGGCTTGCAAGGTGCTTTGGGCTTCAAAGCGCTTAAGGTGCCAAATGGACGACGTTGCGCCAGAGAAGAGGAAGCCTTTGGAAAAAGGTCGTCCCTCAGTTAGGCTGTTGTGTTCTTCATCTTTCCCACCGGGGGTTGCTGTGGAGGCATCACTGCATCGAGGCTGTGGAGGCGGGGACCGATCCAGAGTCCGGCGTGAAGATTCCGACGGCCGTGGTCTTCCAGGAGCAAGGACGCTACTAGGGGCTCCTGGCCTTACTAGGAACAAGAAGATATTAGAAACAAGAATTAGAATTAACTTTTCTCTTTATCTTTCTCTTCTTTAATCGAAAATCAAAGTGGAGACGGTCACCTCATGTCATCGTTCCAAGGTGGATTCCAAACAACCGGCACATGTCCATGTGACCTTGGAGACAGAGACCGGCACAGATCTTGAGACGGAGACGCTCCGTTTCCCGAGGCCCTCAGCAAATGTCCATTTCTTTCAACAACAAAGCAAGGGAGTTCCGTTCTTTTCAGGCTGCTCCTGGCTGGCAAAGAGGCCTCACATGGTGTTGCCGATGATTTGTTTGGAATGGCTGAGCTTTCAGGTTCGCTCCATCAGCATCAACAGCGAGGGTTTCTGGCCTGTCACCATCCAAAGGGCTGAATCAGGCAGGGTTCGGACAGACTGGACAAGAGATACGCTTGAGCACAGAGAATTCAAAGTAAAGCAAATATGAGTGCTTGGTCTCAGCGGTGAAAAGCACACAAGTGGAGTATAGCGTTAAGATTTCAGGCGACAAGTGTACTTGGCATTTGAGTTTGGAAATCAACAAATGAACACAAAAAGAGAAAGTTCTCAGATCAGAAGTTCTGTTTGTGAGGCACTCCAGCAGCGCGCTGGATGAAGGCACTGAAAGAGCCCGTCTTCGTGGTGGGGTTGCATGCGCCGTGTAAAAATGCTGAGGCCGTGGACGAAACACGGCGGCTCTATGTCAAGCGCTGTGGCCCTGAGCGGCTTGGCTCCCAGAGCTAAACTCTAAACCGGTAAGCTATGGTAAGCTATCAGGGTGTAAGGAATTCAGAGAAATGGAATGAAACAGGTGCATGCTCTTCATTTGTCTCCAGCATTGTCTCTTTCTGAACTTTGTTTGTTTACCTTGTGCGAAATCGCAAGGCCAGACAGCAGACTCGAGTCGCAGGCTGGAGAGAAATGATAGTGCTTGTAGGTATGATGCACAAGGCTGAAAGAGGACGTTGGTGGTGTTTGGTGTTTTCAAGGCGTGGTTTCCAACCTTCACGGCACCAGATGCCAATCATGTGGCTGCTTAGCTTCAAACAAGTCTCCAAAATCTTTCTTCACATCAGCAGTCCTTTGGTGATTCTTGTGGGAAAGCTCATTAGAAGTTTCAGCTTGTGTTGTTTAAGGCTCAAACCTTTAAACATCCTTAAACCTGCTCAAATCAAGTTTACTGAGGAGCGGTTGACCATGGCCAAGTTGGCCTTTGGAGCACCTGGTGAAGGATGGGTTCCGAACGACTCAACTGAAGTCACAAAGTAATTTCGAAGTTTATCATGGAAAGGAAGAACGTTCTTTTGACAAGCTGGCAGGACCAAATGAGCCTGGAGTGGCTTGAGACCCCAGTGACCCTTCTCTTTGGGGCGTCCTTTTTTGCGCTCCCTGCTCCAAGGTGAGTGCAGCTGAGTGGGCAGCAGCCTTTTGCTGCCCCACCCCACCACCACTCCCACCAGGCAGGGTTTTGAACTTTGAGAGCAGCCAAGGGGTCGTTGCTTCAATGCTTTAGTTTTGCACAATTGTGGTTTGGCTTTACAAGACTTTGTGCAAAAAAAACAAGAGTTTTCAAGACTTCGTTGTCAAAACCTCAAGATTGGAAATGGCCTCCAACCTAGAAGCTATGGCCTCCAACCTAATAGCGACAATTCTGGTAGGGAGGTTTGCAAGCGCTGTGTGATGTAGATGGAGGCACTTGTTTGGCTGACTTTGATGGTCCTGACAGCACCCTGGTGGAGCGGTTTGCTCGAATCCTGGATGAAGGCTTTGTTTTTACAAGACGTTTTTTCTCAAAACTCCGCCATCGAAGCTTTGACCTTTTTTGGCGGAGAGGCCGGTCAGATGACCCCAAGAAACCTTTGCGCTCACAGCTTCCCTGCACGGCGTTGCTCGCACAGAAACTGCGGGGAGCTCAGTGCCATGTTGACAAATTTAGCCATTGAATTGAGCATTAATTCAATCATCTCAAATCTCGTGCGCCATTTTCGAGGCATGAGTGTGTCATGGAATCGAAGCTGGCACGACCCACAGAGTAGCAAGCATAAGGCTAGGTATTACGGGTACAAAAACTTAGAAATTGCAGGCTGTGTTCCCCTGGTTCGTCCTCCTTTACTTGCAGATGCAGGCCGGACAAGTGAATTTTGAGACACGTTTCTTTGCAGAACCCCTGCAGGACAAGGAGGCTCGAGGACCTGTTTACACGCCAGACCTTCACTTAAATCCTTCAGAAAACAAGAATCTTTGAGCATCAGTAGAAAAGACACTAAATAGGAATGAAGGAAGAAGATGGAAGGACAACCGCACCTGAGGTTTCAGCCTGCTGCTCAAGCTTGGCAGCAGACCAGTTGATGGGCGCTTTGGGATTCCAGGCGCCGACCAAACTAGCAAAATCGTGGCGTGTTTTCTGGACGCACTTGCACATTGAAGCATTCGCTCCTCAAGGAGATTCGCGATGGCATTGGCGCAAGGAGCTGCATCATGCAAGTCACATATCATAAAAGAAACTTCCCACATCGAAAGGAAAACAAAAATGCATAGACAGGGCAAAGAGAGAAGAATTGAAAGGTTCAAGTGAGCGAAGATAGGTTTGCCCATTCAGTGGAGGCATGAACCATTGCTACCCCAAGATTTCCTGGCCGAACGGAAAGCGGAACTCAGAAAGTCCCGCTTCCATCCAGGCGGGCGCGTCGTTGGGACGGAAGCGAAGTTGGAATTGTTGCGACCCATAACAAGCAACAGTAGTGTCCGCACAAAGCATTTCTGAGTACCGTTTCAATCATACATCCCCTTAACTTCAATTTTTAGCATGCGATTCTGCTGTTAAAAGGATGCATTTGCAAGTTGACGAGGTGCAGGAATATTGAATGAACTGAGAAAATAGTTTACAAATCCTAAATGCATTTGTTGTTTTGACTTAGAGAGGGTCATGTCTCAAATTTGACGTAGAATTAAATATGTGTTTTTGACAATTTTTGTTCCCCAAACAGTGTGGTCACACTGAGGGGTTCTTACGGTAGGAGAAAAGCAGGTGTGCTTAGATCGCTGTTCCACGCGGGCGTCTGCGTCTAATTCGCTGCTATTTACAGTACATTCATGCCTCTCGACATCGTCAATGTGCATTTCGACTGCGCAGGCTCGCAGAATCTGGGGGCCAGCGGCAGGTGCTTCTAGCGACTGCGCTCTCGTTGTGGTGCCGTGCGCATTTTGGTACATGGTGGTCACTTTTCGTGGCAGGTGCAAGGGAAACCTCGTGCTTTGGTGCTCCAAAGTCGACTTTTCGTGACAGGTGCAAGGGATCGGAGCTGTTTTACTTCGAAGTGCAGTTTTCGTGGCAGGCACAGCACTTTGGACATGGTGGTGATCGTCGACGAGCTCTGATTTCGTGACAGGTTTGTGACAGGCGCAGCAACCTCGAAGTGTAGATTTCGTGGCAAGCGCAGCACTTGGTGAACCTTGAAGTGCAGATTTCGTGGCAGGCACAACACTCTGTGACCCTCGATGTGCAGATTTCGTCGCAGGTACAACATGACCCTCGATGCGCAGATTTCGTGGCAGGTGCAGCGCTTTGTGAACTTGGATGTGCAGATTTCGTGACAGGTACAGCGCTTTGTGAACCTCGAGCTGCAGATTTCGTGGCAGGCGCAGCACTTGGTGAACCTCGAAGCGCAGATTTCGTGGCAGGTGTAGCACTTGGTGAACCTCGAAGTGCAGAGTTCGTGGCAGGCACAGCACTGTGTGAATTTGCTCACTTGATGCGAGCTCTGCTGGCTGTGCTCTCAGATGTGTGCTCTCTGGATCTCTGTCTGGTCTGTGCTCTCATCTCTCTTGGCGTGGTTCCACCCAGGCGCGCTCGGCATTGTGGGCAACTCACTCACACACTCTCTCACTCATACACTCACTCACTCACACTCACTCTCACACTCTCACTCACTCTGACTCTCACTCTCACTCTCACACTCACTCACTCACTCACCCACTCTCACTTTCTCACACTCACACTTGGATGGTTGCTCGCAAGAGCTAGGATCAGAATGAAGTCCCACTTTACACTCATTAGCACTTGACTTGATGTAACTGCAAAATGCCGAACGGAAAGGTGAAGAGGTCCGCCGAGTTGAAGATGTTTAACAAGTTTTGTTTTCCTGGAATGCCTACTGCTGAACGCTGCCTTCGACGTAAAAATTAGCAGGAACAGGCGTCCCTGACTCACGTCACAGGAAATCCACGGTGTCTTCGCTGGATGCCGACCATGGAAATCCCCGGCATCCCCCTGCCTCTTTTTTGATTCGCGCTGTCTTTGTTTTCGTTTGGTTCTTTGTAGTAAGGCCAGAAACTACTAGTAGCACCCAGCCCTCTAGTGGAATCCACGGCAGACTTACCAGGTACAAACCTTGGAAACAGGTGTTAACGCACACACACACACTGTGCCGCAATCGGCACTCTGTATCCCTTACATGACACGAATTTGGTGTAACAGTTTTGCGCGCCTAGCGCCAATATTGGCGCGTTGGAGAGTTACTAGCCACCTAAAAAGCCTTAGAAAGACAGAAAAAGAAACAAAACAAAAGCACACGAAGAGGGCAAGAAAGAAGGATAGGTGTAGTGACGAGGCCCACTTAGTTAAATGAAAGTAGTTAGCAAGCGGGATTTTTGTCTTCGCACCCTTGTCTGAAAGGCACCTGAAACCTAAAGAAAGGTGTGGAGAAACGAAAAGCAACAGAAAAAGAGAAAGAACCCAAGAACATGAAAAGCACATGCAACTGAAAAGCGGAAAGTCTGAGTCCTGAGCCCTGCCTGTGATTACTTAGAATACTTAGACACATGTTCGCAAATCCTGATTGGAGCGTAAGTCTCAATGAGCCCTGCGCCATAGTATCATGGTATCGTGCAGAACAGGCAATCAAGAGAATTTCAGAGTGAAGTCCCAAAGCAGAGACGAAAAAATCGGAATTGATCCCCTAGGATTTGGGTTTGCGTATATGCGGCGCCCCTCGACAGGGATCACACTACAGCCCTCAATGGGACTCTGTGGCGATACATACTTAGAGCTAGGACTAGAATGAAGTCCCATTTTATACTTATTAGTACTTGTAATTGTAAAATGCCGAACGGAAAGGTGAAGAGATCCGCCGAATTGAAGATATTTAACAAGTTTTATTTTCCTCTGGATTGCCTATTGTTTAACGTTGCTTTGGACTTAAATATTAATAGAAACGTGAATTAGGCGTTTTTTTCACTCATGTCATAGGAAATCCACGGTGTTTTCGTTGGATGCCGATTATGGAAATCCCGGTATTTCTTTGCCTTTTTTTTGTTTCGCGCTATTTTTGTTTTCGTTTGGTTCTTGGTAGTAGGGGCAGAAATTATTAGTAAGATCTAATTTTTTGATGGAATTTATGGAAGATTTATGAAATATAAAACTTGGAAATAGGTATTAATATTTGTTTAATTTTCGTTTATATTTACATTTATATATATATATGTTCATTTAGTTATTATTATTATTGTTTTTTTTGGATTTTAATGCATTTAGATTTTTTTGATTTATATTTATAGATTTTATATAGAATGGGATTTTTTGCCGGAATAATTTGAAATATATATTATATTAATTAATGTTATATATTTGTTTATGAAATATATTTTCGTATTTAAATATAAATATATTTAATCGTTTTATTATTGAAATTTTGGGATTTATAGGATCGGATTTTGGAAGAGTAATGGTTTATAATATATAAATAAATTTATAATTTGATAAATATAAATGGGAAATGCATTTTTTTAAAAAAATATGGAAAGAAATGATCGAAGAAAATAAGGAATTAAGTAAGAAAAGAAATAGAAAAGGAAGGAACGAAATAGGAAAGGAAGGTAGGATCGAAGCAAGGAAATAATGAGGAGGAAGGAAGGAAGGCTATGAAATTAAAATACGCTATTGTAACATGTTATTTAAATAAATATTTAGTATAGAGATTATTGCAATTATTAAAGGAAGATTGATTGGAGAAATTTCGTGATAATTATTTTTTGATTGTAAAAATATATTTTGGGAAGATATTACGTTTCTCCGGTAATTTTTTATTTTGATTATTAAATATAGAAATGATTTTTCGGATATAGTTTTCCAGATATTTATTTATATTTATATAATTTTATATATATATATTATATGTTTATTTTTTTTTATTGTTTTAAATATTTAATATATTTTATGAAATATATTAGATTTAAATTTTTATGTTTTCGATTTATATTTTTTTGATAATGAAAATATATTTTGTAATATTAATAAAATATAATAATTATGTGTTTTTTTTATTAAATGATTATATACGATTATTACCGTCAAATTAGGAATTTATATTATAGATTTATTTCGATATTTAAATACTTTAAATTTCTTGTAAAATTTATAGAATTCTTTAAATATATAATTAAAATTAATATAATAAATAGAACAATTATATGTTTTTTTACATTATTCAAATTCAAATATTTGATAGATATTATATTCTATTTTATGCAAATGATAGGATATATAATCGTATATATACGAGTAAATGATATATATAGGATGGTTTTGTTCTTTTTGAATATTTTTTTATGTATTAATTTTAGTATATTTCTAAAATTCGGGTGTTATTTTAGTATTATCTTTATGATATATATTTACTTCGATTAAATGATTTTTATTTTTTTTTGTAAGTAATTTATTATGGTTTTTTATACTATTTATTCTCGAATGCGTAGCGAAGGATTCCCGTTTATAGTTGGGGGTCTGGGGGTTGGAGTTGTGTTCGCGTGGCTTGCGTCGTGTCGTCGTCTCTGGTCGTTTGTCGTCGTCGTCGCGTCTCAAATTTGCTGCCATTGGGGGAAGCTTTTGCAAGGGACTTTGTATGGACGTGTCACGTGTCAGTTTGTATCGCTATTCCATTGTGATTTGCATGATACCGACATGTCGTGCAAGGAACGTGATGCATTTCGCTGCACAGGCGCAGCGTTTTGTGAGATCCGCAGTTTGCTGCGCGGTGCC